CCCCCTTTCTCCTTTTTTGGGGGGGGGGAGAAGGGGGGGGGGGGTGACAGAGGCCTGTGACGGCACCTGTTAGAGTATAATTACTCTCTTTTTTTTATTATTTAAAATTTTCTAATTAAATTATTTTAAAAATAATATTAAAAATAGATAAATAAGTAAATGGAACACACAAAATGGGAAATGGAAATATTTTAATATCATCCCATCCAACATCCAAAGAATCTTACTGAGGACGGGGAAAGTTGCCTTGTTGACATCCATAGTACAGACTTAGTTACTAAAAAAATAATATTTATTAAAAAATTTAAATATCATAAATAAATTGATTTACTTTAAGCACTATCAAATATTCTCTTGCTTTCGACAATTTATAATATAAAAATTATAGTGGCAATTACCAAAAGTTATCATTCATAGCACTTGGATCACAAATCAAAATTTCTTGATTTTGAGAACCTCAAACTTTCATTTTGGAAGAACATAGATTCATTTAAATGTAAATGCTAAAAAATTTTGTTACAAAAATGTGTGCCATACACTTAGGGTCTCTTCGGAAGTGATTATGAGAATTTATTTTTGACCATCAGAGAGAAAAAGTAGATTCCATAAGTGAAAAAATAAAAAATGATGGCGAAAGTAATGAAATAATGGTCAAAAAATTAATTTTTTTAAGTAAAAAATTGCTACCAAACGGGGGCTTACACATGACATATTTGTTTAAACATGTTTCAGGTAATGACTTCTATTTCTTCAAAGCAATTAAGGAAAAAAAAAAAAAAGTTAACTCAATGTTGATTGACAATCGAAATTAAATTAAATTTGAGTAACTGATTAAAATAAATGAAAGTTAATAACCTAATTGAGATTTAGAGTAAAGTTGAGGGAACGAATTGAAATTTATCCTAAAAAATTCAATCCCGTGAATTTCGGAACAAACTAATAATTAATTGAGCAATGCTACTCGTACATAAATTATTGTACAGAACTCTTACAGAATACACACATATAGGGTCGATGAGTTATTTTTTACAATATTTTAATTTACCCCATCTTAGACACATCTGTAAGAATTCTGGAATTTTTTTATTTACAATAAGCATTTTTCTAATTAATTAGTAAATCAATTGCAATTTGGTAACTCCATATATTGACAGGTGACCTGTAGTTTAATAGACATTAAAGCTTCAGGTAAAACGTTGTCGTCGCACCGGCTATGTCCTGCCAGCCGTCGTTGGGCGTACCAAACCAGCAATAAAACAATATTAAAACCAAGAAATTTCGTTGGAAGTACCGATGCAGCAATAAAACAATATTAAGGAGCCTAACAAGGATTAAATACAAGAAACTTATATTGTTGTACCAAAATTACTTGTAATAAATTAAATTTCATATACTCTACTTCGAAATCCACGAGGTTTTGTTATGTTTGGTGGGGATTAAAATTAAAATTTTAATTTAAACTAAAGTTAATAATTAATTATAGCTACGTTTTTCACCAGATTCACAACATTTCAACAATACATTTCATTAACTTTTATGAGAAATCTGTTACAAATTTAATTTTAATCCCATCAAATAAGAGCTATGTGTAATATAGCATGATTTTAAATCATGAAAGCCTATAGACAAGGTCAATTAGATGCAAAAAATTTATATGCAATAGACCATGATTTTGAAACACGATAATCTATATACTTCGATTAACAGTTGTAGAAAACCATTTCTTTAAAATAACAAATTAATCGTTAATATGATACTTTAACGATTATTAATAGAGTCAATTTGATTAATTATGACACATTTTCTAAAATTAGTAAAATGCCCACTTAAGTTCAGGACTTTGAGAAAATGTCTCGCTCCGTATTTAGCTCAAAGAAATAGTCAGCTCTGGGTTGATCGATTAGAGCGCGTTAGGACAAGCATTTTTGTTGTTGTCTTGAAATCCAATTCAACACGATCTTAAAAAAACAAAAAATTTATCATAGTTCAAAATCAACCTACAAACATAGCTTTTTTTGTCCATGAACAAAATATTATTAATTTAAAAATATTTATGATTTTGAAAGTTATATTTTATTAAAAGTTCGAAAAATATTTATTAAGTTATAAATAAAATAAATTTTCAAGATATATTTATTGATTTAAAATTAAAATAATATTATCTGTTAAGACTTTAACGCTTTACACACATACCTAACGTATATGTTAGTAAATGCCGTTTCCTTCGGTCAAAAGAGATTTTTATACATTCAATTTCCTCCTCGTACTCGTCTAACTTCAAAATCAAACAACAAACTTAAAAATTAATTAATATAATTAATACAATTTATTAAACACTAATAATTCTATATTTAGCGTAGACTTGAAGTCAAATCTGGCGACAGAAGTATCAAATTTCATCTCTCTTTTTTCGCATCAGAATCCCAACATTCACGCCATTTTCCCACAAGGTACGTTCCATTTAGTTATTTAATACTGTTTTTAACCATTTTTTTTAATGAATTTTAGTGATAATCTTGTTAATTTGTGGTTTATAGGTTAATTTTGTTTAGAAAAATTGATTCTGATATGTGTAGTTGCTTTTCTCTTCAATTTGTGCAGTAAATAGACAAACTCATTATGTGAACACGTTTTGGTATGTTTTTTGAGTGGTATATATGGCTGCACTTTAGTTCGATGCTCCAATTGATGCACCGATGATGTGAGGAGAGAATTGTAGGGTCTAAGCGCGTTTTTTGTTCACTAATTTTTACGAGTTGAAAATTTTGTATTGTGTGATGAAGTGATTGAGTCAATTTTTGTCGTTTGGAGTTAGTGTGCGATTTTATGTCACCTTTAATGAACTCGGATTTTTTATTACTTAAAAATGAGATCTGCAATTGGGGATTGTAGTCATCTGACAGTTGAGTACTCGAAAATCTCACTGCTTGTGATTTTCTTCCTTCGTTTTGTTGTTGACATTGATGCTATAATTATTGGTCGGCAAGTTGGTGTTTTTTAAGTTTAGATTGGTGACCATTAAATAAAATATCATGTGTAAACTAAAACGAGTTATGTAACATTTCTGTTTCGGCCATTTGGCAAAATATGAAAAGTAATTGAGTTGTTGTTGTCGTTGGTTTTCCTTTTTTTCCCCTGAACTTGTGAGATTTTTAATAATGGATTCTGAAGTTTCTAAATGGCAGGAAAGGGAAATGAATGAACAAGTTTGTTGTAATTTTTTGTTACTGAAATTCCAATAAATCATATTAAATACTTTGCAATTAAGGATTTAGATCACTTTTGGCCTTTTCCTTGTTTCCCTTCTAGTTTGTTATCATCTAAATATCACTTCTGAATTATAGAGAAATGCTCTTTATTGTAGGCATTTCTTATCCTATTTTGGATTCGTGAATTTATGAAAAGTTGTCTTCACTTTAAAGTCAAAACTGCATGTGAAAGAGGCAAAGATGTCTTTGATGCGAAACAACAAATCAATTAACGTTTGCTCATCTGTAGAGCCACATACATAGTCCTGACTTGGGATATTATGGTAAATAATGTTGCAGGTTTGTTGAACTGCTCTAAATCCTACTTAGACCAATATCCAAATAAATGGATTTTTGTCTGTGTGTGCTATAGAGGATTGTGGATTTCTAAAGCTTAAGTGCTTGTTTGGTAGGGATTTTGATAATTGATTTTTTGACCGTTAGAGATAAAGTGGGTTGTACCTGTAAGAGAAGAATTCAAAAATGATGGTTTGAATAGTGAAATAATGGTCAAAAAATTGATTTTAATTGGCTTAAAATCATTACCAAACAAGCTCTAAATATTGTACTCAAAGGCAGGTCTGGGTGCAACGACTAAAATGTGACAAAAATTAGTTTACAGTTTCATTTGGTTTGTCCTATCCAAATCTTGAATTGTCAATTCATGGTGATACTCTACGAGATTGAGTTGAATTTTACCTCTAGGCTTTATAATTGCAAATGATTTAAGGGTATTTCAATTTGAACTATTATCCCTGATTCCATTTATGGAACTCCGATTTCCGTGCTTGATTTAGCAGTAGCATCATTCTTTCATGAACATCTGAACTTCTAAGGTTGCATGCGTTCATGGCCAGGGGGTAAGGACAAAATTGCTGGGTGTCATAGAGCGCATGGTTGGCAATGGCTGGACAATATATTTCCGTTCCATATCATCATAGATGTAGTTAACCTAACATTTACGAACATATATTCTACAAACAAAACTCATTGGCATCTTGTAATTCTTTCTTCTTTTATGGGCGAGTTTTTGAGTTTTGTACGCTTATCCGGCATATTCTTTCAGTTCATTTATCTAAGTCCTTGTCCTCGTTCGCATTTTTATTAACAATTTAACATGTGTATCTTTTATTCCTCTTTAAGTTGAATAATTAATAGCTGAACCGTCATCGTGGTTTACTTCAGATGCTTTTATTCAATTTACAATTCTGAAGGCCTCGAATGGATAAAAACAATGTATTCATAATATCTGCTACAGCCAAAAGATCCGTGTGGGAGTTGCAGGACTTTTCATTCTTAGTTTATGTATTTGTTGCAGACGCCATTGCATACAGTCCATTCGGATTAGCCATAGTTTGTTGAAGTTTCTCTATCATGGTACCCGGGTCTATATGAGTTGAAACCCACAGGTAATGAACAGAAATGAAGAAATGGTATGGTGGTGTTCTATCCACATCCTTTTTTATGTTATTGGTTCTTGGATATTATGTCATGACAAATCCCATCAAGGAAGGTTACGCGCCAATTCCTTCATACTTCAATATAACAAATCCTCTCGAGTGGATAAATCCTGGCGCTCCTCCAGCAGTTCAGAATCCAGTAAACAATTCTAGGTTGATTTCTACGGAAGCTATAGTTTCTGATCTCTTTTCTCAAAGGAACTTATCCAATGAAGAGAAAAATTCTTTACATACATGGAACCACTTGAAACACTTGATTAGTCATGCTCAGGGATTACCTAATGCTGTTGAGGCTATAAAAGAAGCTGGTGTTGCATGGAGCAATCTAATGACTTCAACTGAAGAGGAGAAGCTTCATATGAATGGGAGTTCACAGAGGAGAGGAAGAGAGAAACAATGTCCACATTTTCTTAGTAAAATAAATGCCACAGAACTTGATGATCGGGGATTTAAGTTGCGGATTCCTTGTGGCTTGACGCAAGGTTCTTCAATAACAATTATTGGTATTCCAAATGGTCTACTTGGCAATTTCCGGATTGACTTGACTGGTGAACAGATTCCAGGGGAGACAGAGGCTCCTATTATTCTGCACTATAATGTTAGGCTCCGTGGTGATAAGATAACTGATGATCCTGTAATAGTCCAAAACACCTGGACAGCTGTGCATGACTGGGGTGAAGAAGAACGGTGTCCTTCTCCTAATCCTGAAAAGAATAAGAAAGGTATCTGCATATCTCATTTGCTGCATATCATGTATCATTAGACCGCATAAGGTTGTGGATTGCTGTTATCCATGTTAGCTGCTGCAACAAAATTTATCTTCTTCTGGTGGTTGGTTTCTTTTTTTCCTTTTCTTTTGCCCTGCTGCTATGGACCCTGCATATGACTACTCTTAAAGTGATGGTATTGTGTAGAATGATGCTAACTCTGTTGAATCAATAAGTTTCTGCAGAGAAGTTATGTGTTCCTGTAAGTTGGATAATTTGATTAACTTGTGTTCACACACTACAATATCTAATTAAGTTAATTGTCAAATAGGTGGATATTTATCACTTTAGCTTTCATCTTAGCTTTCAATGGTTTTATAAACCATTCTCTATTTCTGCTGCTATTTTATCCTTTGGATATGTTTTTTTCTTCCAAAATTATTGTTTTCTGTTGGTAAGAGGATAGTGTGACTTTGCTTCTTTCAGATATTTTTCCACATTTAGAATTTTGTTATAATTTTATAATATGATGAAATCTAGGTTAAGATTGTGCAATTAGCATTAAGATGTAAAGAATTATAGTAGTCTATACTGATTTCACTATTTTTTAAGCTTTTAGATGCCCAGAAAGTTGATGCATTTATTTTTGGCAAACTAGTTGGTCAATGTTATTTTTCTCTTTTTCCTCTTAACTTCAATCCCGTAGGCATAGTTTCTATGTGCTGACTTATTCCTGCCTTTAAGCAGTCCATTTTCTTTTGCTCGTGTCGTCATTTCATATCAGTTTTCCTTCTGCCTCTGCACTTGGTATTTTCTGTTATCCTATGCATTATATGATGCTACTTAAATTTATGTCAGTCGATGCTCTGGAGCAATGCAGTGAGATGATTGGTAAAGATGATAATCGGACTATCAAGGCTAACAGACATGCCAATGGGTCATCAAAGATTTCCACATTTCACTATGGGGGACGGAAAACATACTTTCCATTCAGGCAAAATGATCTGTTTGTAGCTACACTCAGGGTCGGATTAGAGGGCATCCAGATGACAGTTGATGGGAAGCATGTCACATCATTTGCTTTCCGAGAAGTACTCACTCTCTCTCTTCCCTCCCACACAAACACACACTGTTACAGACAAACAGGTCGCAATCACATGTATTGATTAACATTTGTCAAGTAATGTTGAGTTGCACATCTTGTCTGTTTTTTTGCAGACTTTAGAGCCGTGGGTAGTTAGCGAAGCAAGGATTTCAGGAGATATAGATCTAATTTCTGTTGTTGCAAGTGGGTTACCGACATCAGAGGATTTAGAGCATATAATTGACTTGGAAACTCTTAAAGCAACTCCACTTCCTCCACGAAAACAACTGAAACTCTTTATTGGCGTTTTTTCTACTGCCAATAATTTCAAGCGTAGAATGGCAGTTCGAAGATCATGGATGCAGTATGCGGCAGTCCGATCTGGACAAGTTGCAGTTCGTTTCTTCGTTGGGCTGGTAGGCCAAGTCTTTTTGATTAGTTATCATTAATTGGATTAAATGTTTAGAATCTTTCCTCAATATTTAATATGCTTTCTCGTGCTTACACAAAGCAATAGGTAATTGCAATGAGTGTTTGGCTAAGCTTTAAAAAACAGTGGAAGTTACTTTAAGTAACATTTTGTCTTCATACATGTTTAATTAACTTAACTTTTTCTTACTTTTAAGCACCTTTATTAAAATAACCTTACCTCAGTATAAAAACAAGTAACTTATTTCCAACATTAACCAACTAAAAAGAAATCATATTTAAAAATTTAATTGTAAGTGAACATTCTATCAAACTGAACACTTCTAGAGTTCTTCCTTTTTTTTTTTTTTTTTTTTTTTTTTTTTGTGT